TCATTTCTGTGAACATCAGCTATACCCCATATACCTACATAGATAATAGGAGACTACAAGATATCAGAAAAGCAGACCACAAGCTTTAAAAGTGCACACTACAAACTTTTGTAGTCTGAAAAAGCGGACACTACAAGCCTTTGTAATGAAAATGGCAAGAGTACAAACATTTGTAGTCCACAAAGCACACACTACAAACATTGTAATGAAAAAAGCGGACACTACAAACATTTGTAGTCCAAAAAGCGGACACTACAAACATTTGTAGTCTAAAAAGCGCACACTACAAACATTGTAATGAAAAAAGCGGACACTACAAGCCTTTGTAATGACAAAGGCAAAGACTACAAATATTTGTTGTCCAAAAAGCGGACACTACAAATATTTGTTGTCCAAAAAGCGGACACTACAAACTTTTGTAATGAAAAAAGTGAAGACTACAAACTTTAGTAGTGAAAAAAGCGCACACTAGTAACTTTTGTAGTGAAAAAGCGGACAGTACAAACCAAACTGATATTATGTAATGACTTTCCCAATTAGGAAATATGCGAACATTGTCATAAACAATGACAACACTAAGCTAGCCACTAACTCCAGTGGCCCAAAGAGCGTGGGAAACAGTTCCCAACCTAAATGTGAGCTGTGCCTGACAAATATATGTAAACAAACTTCGAAATGAGGGTTTTCTGCCTTCCTCTTCCTAAATAAAAATAGATTATGGTTCCTGATACCATGGTATGGTATGAGGGTGCATGGTATGGTATGAGGGTGCATGGTATGGTATGATATTTTGATAATCAAGACTCTTAGGACAACAAGACTTGATTCCATTTCCAATTAACAAAAAATATATTTAACCTATTATTGAAAGGATTCATATTAATGGCTTTTTAGAAATGAAAAAACCCTCAATTGAACTGATTTCCAAAGGTTGGAGTTGACTATCTAGCCTCCACTTGGAGTTGGAAATCTTAGAAAAAACCTGAAGAACCTTTCCACTTTTCTTTGCTTCTCAATGACCACTTCATCCCAATAGATGTGGTATTGTTTGATTTGGATGAATATTTGTTCAAATAGAAAGGACTGGGAAAGATATGTATCATTAAATGGCTTTGGATGCATGAGAAAGCTGGAATAAAGCCTATTTAAGCTCATTTTCAATAGATGGTTTGGACTATCTAGCCTCAATTTGTAGCTCAATATCTCAAGAAAAACATGGAGAACCACCCCACAAAAAATGGTACCCAATGGACCAGTATTGCAGCCTGCAGAAATAATTTATTTCTTTTGGAAAAGGACCCCAGACACCCAGTGACAGCTTTGGTATGATGGTATGAAGTGGTATCATACCATCTGGTATGGTATGGTAACTTGGTATTGGTATGAGTGGGATATGGTATGAGTTTTCCATTCCATGGTACCATGGTATTGGTATGGTGCTCACATACCACTCTGGAATGGGTACCATTGAGGTACCCTTAAATCAAAGAATTCATATACCTCATAGG